TTTGTTGTTATAAACGTAAATAAAATGAAAAATTAGGGTAGGCTGGTATATAAAAGAGGGGAAGGTAATGTGTGTATAGATAGTGAGTAATTGATCTGCAGTCAGAAGTATTAATTAGCACGTTCGTTGTTATAGCGTTTGTTTAGCGCGATTGTTGAAGTTGAGTGTATCGGTAAAGTTATATTCGGAAAGAATAAACCAGTTTTATTAAGTAAAGACTTGTGTCGCTTAAGTTTCGTCGGAACGAAGTTACGGAAAATTAATTAACACACGGAGACGTAACAATATGATAGAAAGTTGCCTTACTGTGTAGAACTATTTCAATGATTTATAGGCAATTGTGGTTCTTTAAAACAAAATGGCCTCTTTGGTTAGCTAAGACTTGACCATTGCTGTATCAGGTATGTGTATATGTGTGTATCTAAATTTGGTAAAAAAAAATTTAGAATGAATATTGAGAAACTATCAATTATGACAGTTTTGGAGATTTTTTTCTATTTAAGTCTCACACATTTGTGTTTGGTATACTAAATTATTTTAGATTAACCAGAAAAGGTTGAATAAACATAATAGAAAATCACTGGGTTTAATTGTAACTTGTAACTAAATTCTATTTTTGAAATTGTTTGATATCATTGAAAGCATTTGCAAGTCTTTGTTATTTAAAAGGCATAAACTCTATTAAATTAAAATTCTGTTTCTTCACTAAGGCAAGCAAGCAGACCACATTAAGGAGTATCATTCTATTAATTTATTAATATAAACTCTTCTTTATTTCATCCAAAAACACAACCATAATAACATATCTATATATTGAAGTACTGATGATTAAATTTGACAAATAACATATGGTGAAAAAAAAAAAAATTGATCCATCCATAAGATAATTTATTTTTTAATTCAGAACAACTACTACTCTGACTAAAAAGCATTCTTATTTTCAGTGTCTTCAGTTATACTAAATTCATAAATAAATGTTATGAAAGAATTTGATAACATAACCAATGTGTAAAAGTTCGTCATGTTTCAAACTGTTTTTAAACTTCAAAAGCCCTCGCTAAAGTACACAACATAATCTTTCACTGTATTCTTATCTTTATAGAACTAAAAAGGTGAAAAGTGGGGAAAACTTTTTTTTTACTCATACAGAATATTGTTCAATTCCTGTTTTCTGTAATATTGCAATATCATAAAAGAAATTATTCAAAACAACTACACCACATCATGACACACAAAACTTAACTAAGTTATACATCAAATACTAGTCTAAATCCCTCTTTTTTTATGTTGTATTGTCTTTATTATGTATTGCAAAACCTCCAATGTTAGATACTTCGCTGTCTTCTTTTCTGGACAAGATTCTTCACGTAAAATTCCCCTTGAGAAGTAGATAAATGTTTTGAATACATCAACTTAATCAACAACTGATATTCAAACTAACTAAAACTGTGCAACATCCATATTAAAGTTTTTGTTGTTTAACTTTGTTCACAAGAGTACAAAAATAAATACTTTTTCTTTCAAGAAGCTTTAACATACTACTAAACACCAGATTTTACAATCCATCAAAATGTAAATTTGACAAAGGAAAAATACATGTAACTATAGATTCAACAATAAGATACTGAGAATATGACCGGAAAGATAATAGTCCAGACTTTACTCCAAATACACAGTATTTTTTATGTTTTTATACAACTCATAATAATAGAATTTTATGAAAAGTTTTGATTTCTGAGTACATATTTTCTTATAATTAAATAATTATTAATTGCCAATATTCTACTCACATAAAACATTTGTGGATCTACTTGATCCAATGTAGATTCATCTTTCAAATGTTATGTTAAACAATAAGAAAAACACAAGTTATCAAATCATTACAAACATTTTTCAGTTGTACAATCTGATATGTAACGTGTTTTTACTAGTAAAATCAGATGTTTATTCACAGCTGATTTTAAACAGGTGTTTATGAAGTTAAGTACCACATATTTTGTTCAAAACAAGAGAAACATGAAAGATGTAGGACAAAATTATAGAAAACCTTTCACTTGAATCACCCACTGCAGTAAGAAAATTATTTGTACATAATCTGTAACATTTCAATAATTTAATACATTACTTTGTAATTTCAGATTTTTTGTATTTTAAGGTCAGAATTAGTTGCAAAATTATAAGTTTCCGATTCATATAAGCTTTTAACAAATCTGTTTTACAACAACACTTAGGAATACTAAAACATACTTGCAATAACAGAAATATATTTCTAAATGTAAGCAATAAAACCATATTTAGTATTCTAAGAGGTATTTAAGTGGATTTCAGCTACAAAATTTTTCTTGTATTAGTTATTATTCTTTATAATAATCTTTATCAGTCAAACTTGTACAAACTGAACTTAATAATGTCTTTTGAGGTATAAGGTAGTGTCATGCTGTCTCCAGTCTTCATTACTTGTCATCTTAGGTTTTGACCTGTATTGCTTATTAAGGGAAGAGAACATCCAATTCATACCAATCTGTAAAAGTAATCTGTGTCAATCTTTGAGATGGAAGCTCCACCCGAAGGAGTACATAAAGGACCCATGATAAAACTAGTATAAGCTTTTACGGAATGGCCATTGTAGTATGTAATCTTTACATGAGCAAACAGATTAGAGCATGTTTACTGCCTTTGGATATCCAGTTTAGATGGATGCCATTAACTATGTGCCAAACACACAAGAAATTAGAAAAAAATTTCTGGCTATATTTTACTACAGAAATATTCTAAACTAGCTATGAAAAAAGTGAAATTAGCAGTTATTTCATATGTTATAACTCCACCAACCCCTTTATCTCAAAGACATCCAAGACTATAAGTTAAAATTAAACATACGTGAATGTATCAAAAAGTTAACTGCCAGACCATAATTTGCAGAAATTGTCTCCCTCAGGTAACACACAAGATTCTATAATACTACACAAAGGATCTAGCAGCCAGATAACATGAAATAAAATGAGATAAAATTACAATACAGAATCACAATATAAAAATCATATTAAATGATCATAAAATAAAATTATTATGCTGGACATTTAACACAATATGAAAATTAAAATTACAGCATACAAAAAATATACATAAATAACAAGTATAAAATAAAACTTAAGTGTAACAACTAAAACAAAACAAAATTCACTATTATTAATTATAACAAACATATAAATAAATTAAAATAAGAAAATAATCATGTTGAACTACAGCTTACATCACGTTGAAAATATTTAATATTGATCCTACAGCAGACTTGGGCCATTGGTTTGTATGGGTGTCTCTCCTGGATGTCCTAGTTTTCTCATAGAGACATCTCTAAAGTTCAACACTGGTTTTCCTTTACTCATTACAAACCTGGTAGGCATCAAACCAGTTTTTGACAGTTGATAAGGCAGACATTTGAATGATGTATCACTGTATATTGATCATGATGTTACATATCTATGATGCTGATGCATGTAGCTAAAGCCTTTTGGACTGTTGAGAGGTTCATGGTAGTCCTCTTGTAAATGCAATAGACTGAAAGGCAATTCACAAGACTTCATTTATCAGTGATATTAAAATATGTTCAGGATGCTTAGCCATAGGATGGTTAGGAATTTAGTCAGTAAGATAATACTGAAGATACAACTAGGTATTTTAAGAGAGGAATGGGATTAGCACAGGTGCAAGCATGCACCTGGCTCATCAGTGGGCACACAATCCACCAAGTTTTTTATGGTCCATGGTTGAGGCCACTGTGCTCCAAGCTGGTCATATTAATGCCATAGTAATCCTTTCATCTCTGAACAATTGCCATCTGAGGAATGTGATGTCTCCCACCAGTGTCTGGTTGCCTTAGCACAGGCTAGGATGAATGTGGAAGATTTGTACCTTATGTCTATGACTGAAACTGCCCCTAACACTGTAAATCAAACAATTCAAGTAGCATTCGAACTTTAAATTGCTTCTTGACAAATGTTAAATATAATGTGAATATATAGGAAAAGTCACATAGGACTTCAAATATAAATCAAGTTATATTTGTGCAGTCAACATAAACACTATATTTATATTAAGTTAACACAAAATTTGCATATAGCAACTACCTTACTTACATATAGTACCGAGACAAAACATTCAGTAATATTTGCAAAACTTGGATATTTTGATGATACAAATCAAAACTACTTGAAAATGGTATGTATGCTGTGCTTTCTGTCATTTCAGATAAACAAATAATTGTAATTCCACTTCATAAAGACTGCAAGATATTCCTTCACCAAAAGCAGTGAAAATAATTGGACTAGCAATGTGATATAGTCTATAAAGTATCTTCTTGACTTTCTTTCAGTGAGAAAGAGCACACAAATATTTTTGTTTGGGACAAAACTGAATATATTCTTTACCTGTAATAAGAAAACACAGAACATACATTTTGCCTAATTTACACAGTTGATGTCAACTTCTAATGCTATGTTTTAGTAATACAATTTCCTAGTTGCACATCATGAAGACTGGTATGGACTTACCAGACTACTATGTGCAGTCTCACATAATGACACAACATAAAATCACTTTTATTTTATTTTTCATATTGTGAGTTTATTAAGGAAGGCTTTTATCAGAACACACTCCTTAAAAAACTCAAACCGAGTGTCAAAAAGTGTTTCTAAGTTCTTGTTTCCTATTTGCACCATTGTCCAAATAATAATGAATGTCAACAAGAATTTCAGACATATATTTCAACTTCTTTGTTGCTTTTTCTGTTGCCAAATGAAGGAGGTTAAGTTTCAGAAGATAACCTGTAACAGATTTTTTTCTCTACCCATCATCACGTTTATGTTATCAATAGTTAATGATACACAGTTTTCCCACTTTAAAGACTTCAAAGCTAGTTTTACTTGAAGGAGTCCTGCAGTATTCTTGCAAGTTGATTTTTCAATTGAATTGGGATTAGAAAATAATGCATTCACTACCTTTTCCTTGTTGTCAGCAAAGTATGTCACTACATTAGGGTATAGTTTATCGTCAATATCATTACTGCCATCAGTAGAAAAGTTGAAAGCCCTGTAGTTTTAATGTTACTCAAAATTCACTCAGTTGCAATGCTGGCCATTTCTCCAACTATTGCAGAGGGTTTGGTTCTAGAGCATCCATATCTGTAAGCAATTTCTGAATCCAGAAACCTTTGAGTAAAACTTTTTGTTTCACAATGAAGGTGAATAAACATTCCATTCTGATCACATCATTTTCTGATTTGGTATCGGGTTTTATGAAAAATGGGTCCAGTTTATTAATTCCAGATGCCCTCAAATAATTTTGCTTGTGTTTAGTAGTGTTGAGTTATTTTTTAATGTAATTTTCACCTTTGTGAGCAATGGAGAAATTACAAACACAAATTGTACATCTTGCATAACCCATACCCTTTGAGAATGATACAATATCATTGAGCTTTTTTGAATACTCATGCCAAAACTTCTGCTCGGTATAAACTTTTCTTTTTTTTGTTGAAGTCATTGACGATGAAGCAGAACTATTAATGGCTGGAAATGGCTTGAATGGGTAATGAAGAAAAACTTTAATATAACAGCAAATGTACAACGTTTGGACAAGGTTTTGCCATCATCAGGTGTCACCTGATGATGACAAAACCTTGTCGAAATGTTGTACATTTGCTGTTATATTA